GAGAGAATGTAGGATGATGCATACATGGGCATATTTATCTAAGAGAAGTTTAGAGGAAGGTCCATCCACAGTGGTTAAGTGGTTACCTCTGGGTAGTGGGATTTGGATCAATATTACTTAAAAACAAAACAATGAAACAGAAAACTGTTCTAGCTTTTGGAGAGATTGTTCAGTGATTAAGAGCACTTGTTACTCTTTCAGAGGACCTGAGTTTAATCCCAAGCACTCAGGTTAGATAGTTCACACAGCCTGTAATTCCAGATCCAGGATATCTGAAGCCCATTTCTGGACTCTGCGGGCACCTACACACATGGCACTCTCGGTCTTCCCATCTCCTTCTCTCCTTCTCTCCTTCTCTCCTCCTCCTCCTCCTCCTCCTCCTCCTCCTCCTCCTCCTCCTCCTCCTCCTCCTCCTCCTCCTTCTCCTCCTCCTCCTCCTCCTCCTTCTTCTTCTCTCTCTCTCTCTCTCTCTCTCTCTTTCACACACACACACACACACACACACACACACACACACACACACACACATGCTGTGGATATCGTTCTGTATAAATAAAAAACTGATTGGCCAGTGGCTAGGCAGGAAATATAGGCGGGACTAACAGAGAGGAGAAAAAAAAGAACAGGAAGGCAGAAGGAGTCACTGCCAGCCGCCACCAGGACAAGCAGCATGTGAAGATGCCGGTAAGCCACGAGCCACATGGCAAGGTATAGATTTATAGAAATGGATTAATTTAAGCTATAAATACAGTTAGCAAGAAGCCTGCCACAGCCATACAGTTTGTAAGCAATATAAGTCTCTGTGTTTACTTGGTTGGGTCTGAGTGGCTGTGGGACTGGCAGGTGACAGAGATTTGTCCTGACTGTGGGCCAGGCAGGAAAACTCTAGCTACACACACACACACACACACACACACACACACACACACACACACACACACACACACCAACTCCTACAGTGTCTAATCTTTCTTCATAGTAATCATACTATATTTATCAGAAAAGATAAAACCAAACTCTTTGGGAGTAAAAGTAGCTATGATTTAAGAGCTATTATATAGGGGTATATTTCAATTTCAAAGAAAATGATGACCTCAATCATCTTTCTTTGATTTTTGTTCTTTAAAAAACTAAACTTTAAGTACACAATTGGATCAATTATAACATGTAGTTGTGGCAGGAAATGGCAGACTTTATTTACTCTTTGTTCTGGGCACAAATCTGGATTGTGTTTCCCAGCTATACCCCTATGGTCCATTCTTCCCTTCTGTCCTTATTTCTAGATGGCACCAGGTAAGTGCTTCTCACTAATGAAATGTAACCAAGGAGTGCATCCTCCTGGTGGTTAACGTAGGTGTGTCCTTTCTATGCTGTCCTGTCCTTCCAGGCACCAAGAATAGAAGCAGCCCAGCTTCCTGTACCACTGTAGGAGCTCCTCCAAACATACAACTGACTAGGACTACTTGCCTTGATTTTTGTGTCAGTCTAATCTGAATGATACCATTCTATATACATCATCCCCACTGGCCTATATGTGACCTTATTTATTTACTATTCAGTTAATTACATTGCACAATGTGCCACTGATGAATATATTTTAAGTCAGAGCACTTGAACACTCAAAATACTTTAGTGTGTTTCAAGTTTAGAACTAGAGGCAGAATTTTTGAACCTAGTAACACATGAATATTTGGCTTTATATGACAGTGATGAATTTCTGTCAAACTAGATTATCAGTTTCTTTTTTTCCAGTGGGTTATGAAAACATATATCAATTTCCAATATCCTAAATGATATGTTGCTCCATATCTGGCATCACAGTACTATTATCATAGTTATTAATTTTTGCCACTTGCGTAATCACACTGTTACCCTGATTTCCATTTTCTTGGCTGCTACTGACAAATTCTTCAATTTGATGCTCCCTTTGCACCAGGGTTCTGTTGTCTTACTTGTTACTTAGTTGCCTTGTGCCAGAGACTCTACCATTTGATTTGACAAACACGAAGTGAAGAATCATATGGAGTGCTTAAGTAATTCTATTTTAATATGGTAAGGTTGAATTCAGCCATCAGTCACATTGTCTATTTTTATTAGCACATGTAAAGCCACAGGATAATCTTCATATTTTGTTTCCATTTTTATTACTTTTTTATGTTTTAAAATGAAAGACATAGTTGCATGTATTTGCCATATGCAACATGGTTTTGAAGTCTATATACTTTTTAAATTAATTAAAATATGTATTACCTCACACAGTTATTTTAAAATGAGAACAATTTACATTCACTCTCAGGATTATTCAAGAATATAATATATTGTTACTATACTCACCACATTGTACCATAGATTTCCTGAAATTATTCTCCTGTCAACTGATATGGGGTGTCCTATGACTAATGTCACTCCAGTCCTTCTCAGTCCTTCTTGACCATCATTCTACTCCCTGTTTCTGTAAGATCAACTTTTTTATATCCAACATGTGAGTAAGGTCACAGAGTATGTGTCTTTCTGTGCCTGGCTTATGTCACTTAACACGATACACTATAGGTTCACTTATCACATTTTCTAGATCCATTCATGCACTGATAGACCCTGAGGTTGATTTCATGTCTTGGTTACTGCTAACAAGGCCAAAATGAATGTTGATGTGCAGATGCCCCCGTCGCATGCTCATTTTGAGAGTAATGGATTTCAGGGTCACACAGTAGCTTTAGCTTTCCCAAGCTTCCCCCCACACTGTTCTCCATAATGGTGATAGTAACCACCATTTCTATTAACAATGTGTGAGACTGTCTTAAGTGGGTCTAAGGTGACCCCCACATGTTTGTGTTTGGGAATTGGGACAAAGCATTACTTGGTCCAGGTCAAGGAAAAGAAGCAGTTTGAAGGGGAAATATGTTCAGAGTTGAAGACCAATGGCCGAGTTGTGGAAATAGTTTAAAATACTTTCTGAAAGTTCGGAGTGAAGTCTGCCTAGAAGATTAAATGCCATTAATGAAATATTTCTTAGAGATTAATTTAGGATGATCATGGGAATATAAATTTATTTTTATATTTCTAATATTAGTAGCAAAACCTTTCAGTATACATGTTCAATAAATGTATTTTATTGATAGCTACGTAAGAAACAAAATCAAAATAGAGTACCAGAAAGTTTGGTGTAACTGATACACTCAAATTCTACTGAAGGCATTGCAAATGAAAACTGTATTTTGGAAAGATTATACAGAAATTACAAGAACTATAAATACAGTGATATGATTTCACCCAGTATTCATCTTCCAAATTAATCAGACCAGATTATATTACTGAAAAATGACCTTATAGCTAGGATCTATATGGCAATAACAGAAGAGGGTATTTAATGTGTGTGTGTGTATACTTTTCCAAAGTAGAAAAATGAAAGTGGAAGAAACATGAGAAGCTATTTAAATTGATGTTAAAGCAGCAATCATAATGATCATAATTGTGTGTTGTGAAATATTATTTCAACTAGGCAAAGATGTGTTACATTTGCTTATGCTGTGGAATATTACTTTAACTATGTGAAACTGTGTTACATTTGTTTCTGCTGCCTTTATTAACAATGTAAAGATGTGTTACATTTGCTTATGCTGTGGAATATTACTTTAACTATGTGAAACTGTGCTACATTTGTTTCTGCTGCCTTTATTAACAATGTAAAGATATGTTACATTTGCTTGTGCTGCATCTGTTTAACTATGTAAAGATGTGTTGCATTTATTTTACCTTGCCTGCCTAAGGCACCTGATTGGTCTGATGAAGAGCTAAATGGTCAATAGCTAGGCAGAGAAAGGATAGGCAGGGCTGGTGGGCAGAGAGAATAAGAAGGAGAAGAAATCTAGGCTCTGGAGAATGAGAGAAGAAGGAAAGGAGAGAATGAGGGAGAAAGAGAGGGACACACCTGAGGCCCGAAGCCAGGCAGCCGCTAGCAGACATGAGAAACAGTGAAAGTAAGATGTACAGAAGGAAAGAGAGGTAAAAAGCCCCAAGGCAAAACATAGATCAAGAGAAACAGGTTAAATTATAATACCTACTGGGACAAGCATAAGATAAGGTTGAGCATTCATAACTAAGAAGTCTCCATGTCATGATTTTGGAGCTGGTTAGTGGTTCAAAAGAAAAAGCCTACTACGATTGTGTAAACATGAATACTAATAAAAGGAAAGCTATTGAAATTGTTACTGTATTTATTTGTATGTGTGTGAGTCTACTTGAACCTGTGTTCAGGTACTCATGAAGGTCAGTAGAGGTCAGATTTCCTGGAGCTGGAGTTACGTGTGGTTGTGAACCTCATGACTTGGGTGCTGGAAACGAAACTCTCATCTTCTGAAAGAGCAGCAAGCACTCTTAACCATGGATCCAGCTCTCCAGCTCCCCTGAAAGTTATTCTCTCATGTTTCTTTAAAATAAGATTGTAGAACAATTTTCCAATAAACTTAAATATATTTGTATGTGTGTTTCCCCCCAAAATGGCAAACATGCATAGAGATATGCTGTAAAAACTTATTTAAATGTTTCTCCTCCAGTAGTTGGAAGAAATGGGGGCAAACTGAGTAAGGGTAGGGGAGAAGAATGAGAAGAAAAGGCAGGGAATCCAGGGTCTCTGAAGTGTTCTTTTGCTTTCCTGGGGAGTCAGGCAGGGGCATCAGGGGCTGCTGATCTGTGGTTGTAGATGCTTTCTGTCACAGGAGGCAGGTAGGATGGACCGCAGTGACCACACCACCTCATTTCCTCTGCCCCGTTATCACACTGAATCATGTCACTGACTAGCCTTTGGGACGGAAGATCTGACTGCAGACCCACAGCTGTGAAGGAGTAAAGTACATTTCATCTCAGGCACTCATTTGGTTTCACTGTCACATTAACCACATTGGGCGGGGGGAAGGCCACAAGGTATCATGTTGGTATGAACACAGCAAAGGAACTTTTGTTTAAAGAAAAAAATCATCAGTGCTGCAAAGACTTTCCATGATTCTACACCCACCCTGACAGCCCCCTCACCACAGGAAGTGTGCTGACCAGTGAGGGAAATAAAAGGAGCTTCTGAGGAATCTGGTCCACACTCTTCTTGCACAGCTCAGCAAGACCTCAGCCATGAGACTTCTCCTCCTGACTTTCCTGGGAGTCTGCTGCCTCACCACGTACAATGTGGAAGGTAAGCTGAACAGCTGCTAACGGGACAAGGAACAGGTGGGCTCGTATACTAGGTTTGACTTGGGTTTTGATTAGAATAAACTGCTTTGTCCAGGTAAGCCTCAAACTTCCCATATGCAAAAAAGGAATGCCAGTTTCAACTCTCAGCCATTCTGGACTCATGGTTATTTATTTAAAATTGAGTGTTATATTTTGTCTATACATTGAACACTGTGAGCTGGAATTAAAATGGAATCAATCTGATTTTTTTACTGATGACTATTTAAGCACATCAAATCTTCTCATAATGATATTTTATTAATGCTGGCAATGATTACAAATGGGTTGCTTGTTTTTGTTTACTTACTATTGATCTGATAAATTCTCAGACTTTTAAAGTTTCCTCACACTGGGGAATGAGCTCAAAGACTCATGTTTGGAAGCAAATCTATGTTTTCTACTTGAAAACATCAAACAAAAAAAATGACCAGAAGTTCATATCTTCATATCAAGAAAATCAATGTTATTCTCAACTAAACAGAGGAGTCTGTCAATATTGCTGTGAATATTATTATTTATGATAGACTTCTTGAGTTTGTAAGGCAGCCTTTGATACTGAGTGTAACAGATAATACACACTCTGTTGACTAATGAACCTGGAAGATATACCCAGGTGAGACGCAGATGCACTGAGCTGTAGCTGAACGTTCAGTCGATGTTTCCTAAAGGGTCACCTTTTCCTACTGGCTGGAGTTGATTTATAGACCTATTTGTATTCTGTTCTGTATACTTAGACTGTAATACCATAACTTCATCATACATTCTACAAGGACATTTAGGGAAGAAAGGGAACACAATCTGGAAATCCTTGACATTGGGCGAAAGAAGAAATATTGATGAAGGGAAAAACCTTCAAGAATATTCAATTAGGTATCATGCCACTAAATGGCATTTTGCTGAGATGAGAGGGGTACTTCTCAGTTGCTTTTGTTTACTTGTTTCTTGAGCCCTGCTGGGGCTCAGAGCTGGGCAGGTGCAGTCTGCAGAGCCAGGGAACTCTGGACTTGCTCTCAGATTCCCATGTTTTCCTCTTGCAGGAGTTTTAAAAGACCTTGCTGGCATCTTAGTAGTGTCAACATGGGGCAAAAATGAATCTTTGCTTTGACTTAGTTCTGCAGCAGATGGGAGGAAGCAATGCTTTGACAGGCCACCCGACATTGCTGAGAAGCAGCAGAAGTCCTAGTGAGGACGAGGACGATAGGGTTCTGCTGGCCCTCGGCATCCATGTACACCTGACACAGAGATGTATTGTTCTTAAGTGGTGACTGGTAATGGAAAGCTAAAAGAGGCCAGATTTTCTCAGAGTCCAGAGAAGTTCAGCATGAAGTGATACTGGCAGAGGTAGAGAGAGGGTAAGGAACGTGCAGATTGGCACTGAGAGAAAAGGAAAGGAGTCATGAAGGAAAGCGGTGTGAGCAGATAGCTTCTGCTTCCATATTGCAGACAAATGCCTTCCTGTGGCAGCAGCAGTCCAGGGCAAACTTGATCGTTATCAAGGTTGCTTGAGACCTCCGGCAGCTGTGATGCACACAGCAGCAGCTCCAGCTAGTGAGGGAGTTAGCACTTACAAACTTGGCCTATTTAGAGTTTACCAACTCCTTAATCTCGTTGACTCTCCTAGGATATTTTTCTTGTGCAATGGAAGGTAGTGTAGGAATTTAAGAGTTCAATCCCACTTGGTCCAGTCCTTTAATGACAAACCCTGAGGAATCTCTTCCATGGAAATGTTTCACATGTGACTATTAAAAATGAGAACTCGTGTATTTGTTCAGTCCAAAATGAACTGTGTTCTTCCCTTGAATGATAGCTTGTCTCACTGACACAATTCTGGCTGGCCCAAAACTCATTGTGTAGACCAGACAGAGAGTCACCTGCCTCTGACCCCCAATGCTGGGACTAAAGGAGTGCACCACCATGCCTGGCCACCTTATTACTTTTACGATGAAATTCCTGAGACAACACTACTGATCTTTTAAAATCAGCCAAACATTTACCACAGTACATAACGCACAAGTGACTCAGGGTGCCAATGTGAATTATTTTTTCCTCAAAGGAACAAGTGGTTTTATACTCCTATTACATTTTAGAGTATTTTAATAAGTGACTCTGAACTTGATACTTGTTGAGTTACAGTTTCATTTATGTTTTCTTTTTCTTTTTCTAGGTGTGGGGACTGAAGTCCTAGAGGAGAGTTTCTGTGTGAGCTTGACAACCCAGCCGCTGCCAGTTCAAAGAATCAAGACCTATACCATCAGGGAAGGCATACTGAAAGCAGTAATGTGAGTGTCTGCTCCAAGATATCGTTTCTATCTAGAAATATAGTAGGAAGGAGTGCTGCTCTCCTCAGGAAAAGTAGGGCACCGTGGAGGAAAGCTCAGCTTAGCCAACAGTCCATTCTGTCTATATTAATAGTGTCTTCTCACTGTCCTGTCCAATGAAAAAAATAAAATTATTGAAAAAAATAAAAACATACACACCTTTTCCCCATTTGCTCAACAGATGAGTCTGACTAGAAAATAGATGGACCCTGTGTCCAGTTTTGCTGGCCAGCCCGAGCTAGGACTTGCCTAAACAGTCACACTAATGTAGGATACTTACTGTGTAGAGTGGCACACCGTGTATGTGCTATACCTCAAGGAACACATCCAGAACTTTCCTACACTGTCTTCCAGAATCCTGTGTACACGTCTAGAACTTTCTTACATTGTCTTCCAGAATTCCCTGTTCAGAAGGAGCAGCTTTCTCTCTCTGACACATAGAGTTTCACTCTTAGAAATTCACAAAAATTATCTCTAATTTCCCCCAAAGAGATTAGTAGTTTCAGGTTGGGAAAGGAAGGAGGTATGGAACAATTGAACTAGATGGTCCCAAGAGTCCAGTTTAGCTCCAGTATTTGGTACATGGTGAATTACAGTCACCGCCGGGCAGTGGTGGCACACTCCTTCAGTCCTAGCACTCGGGAGGCAGAGGCAGGTGGATCTCAATGAGTTCAAGGCCAGCCTGGTTTACAAATTGAGTTCCAGGACATCTGTTACACAGAGAAACCCTGTCTTGAAAACAAAACAAAGCAAACAAACAAACAAAGAATTCCAGTCACCAGGAGCTGGCTGCCACCTGGAGGTTTCTCTCCCTTACTAAATTAGCTGACAAAATGAAGGTGCTTATAGATGGTTTCAGGGTTCTGAAAGTTGGTTTCCTCTGCTGCTAATTTCTGTACAAATTCTCTTTCATTGGACAAGATGGCTGACATTATCTTTTCCTTGGACAAGATGGCTAACGTTACCTTTTCCTTGGACAAGATGGCTAACGTTATCTTTTCCTTGGACAAGATGGCTAACGTTACCTTTTCCTTGGACAAGATGGCTAACGTTATCTTTTCATTGGACAAGATGGCTGACATTACCTTTTCCTTGGACAAGATGGCTGACATTACCTTTTCCTTGGACAAGATGGCTGACATTACCTTTTCCTTGGACAAGATGGCTAACGTTATCTTTTCCTTGCATCGTAGTTTTGTCACCAAACGAGGAGTGAAAATCTGTGCTGATCCACACGCCAAATGGGTGAAAGCAGCGATCAAAACTGTGGACAGAAGGACCCGTGTCAAAAAGAACATGACTGAAACTAGTCCCACGAGAGCCCAGAGGTCCACCAGCACAGCCATGACTCTGTCTGGGTAGCAGTCTCCAGGACAGCGTTTCCTCAACAGCCCAACAGCTCATCTCAGTTCACAGGCTCACGGACTAACTGTGCTATATTTACCTTTTATGAAAATGTTACATGAATAAAGTTGTTTTTATTTTTTTAAATGACATTCATTTTAAATGTTATAAGTAATAAATATTTATTATTGATGACAGTTCTATATTTAATTTATTATAGAAAGGGAAAGGTAATATATCATTTATTTCTGTCTCATTGATCTCTCCCTCCCCCCGCCCTCTCTCTCATCTCTGGTCCCCATGATGGCGGAGACACATGGGCCAGTATTTATTGAGGATGAAAGCTGGCTTCATCACTCTTAGGTTCAGCTTGGAATAGTTCTCCAAAAGTGAGTTACAAATTATAACTGTGCCAGTGACAATTCATGATCTATTTCAGTTTCATAGTAGAGTATTATTTATAAAAGCAGTGAGAAATCATCCAGCTGTCCTCACATTACTATTCTGAGGGATAGCAGCTCAGAAAGCGGTTCCACTCTGGCTCAACTTGAGCAAATTCTCTTACCTCTTGGTTGGTTGGTCAAGTAAAAGTCAATGCTTTGTGAATTAGGCAAGAATCCCAGTACCTTATGATGGGTTCCGTTGCTGTCGGCACTCTGGTTACTATTGTCTAAGCTCTGCGTTACTACCCATGGACTCTCAATGCTCCCAAACATTGCCACATGGGATCTCTCTCAATGGGACCACGATTTACAGTACATTTTTTGTTTAAATATTTGTCTGGTCACTCAATACCCCAAACTTACACTTCCTTGTGTCCTTATTAAATGGCTGATTTGACTCCAGTTTATGGTTTATCCAAGAAGCTGGTGGTTTACTCTGTGTTTGTTAAGCTGTCTAAAGAGCAAGAACTGACCTTACCCTGGTAGTTGAGTTGAAGAAAAATTCCTGAGGAGATACTGAGCAATATTAAGAACCTTTGGACATTCCTTTAGGGCATCTTGTTGGGCCAGTTCACTCCTGTCTATACAGAGAACCAGAATAGAAACCACTAACATGTCACTTTCCAGCAAAAGATCCAGCCACATATTCTTTCCCATTGCCATTTGTTCATAAAGATTTTCAAAGATGTGTTAGACAAAACAAGACCTAAGTAAGCAGCAACAGCTTCCTTAGGAGGTGGGAAACTAAGAGTCACAGAAGATGAGCAGAGTGATTTTTTTATTTTTAAAAAATAATTTATTAATTCATTTTTAATTTATATATACGTGTGTGGCCTTTGTGAGTTTATGTGAACCACAAGTATGCAGATGCCTAAGGAGACCAGAGGGCATCAGATCCCCTGGAAGTGAAATTATGTGCAGTGGTGAGTAATGTGGGTGCTGGAAAATGAATCTGGGTCTTCTGGAAGAACAGCAAGTTCTTTACCAAGCCCTACACCACTGTGCCATCTCTCAACCCCTGACTTTTCTCATTTAATTATATATTTGTGCTTCCAAAATGACTCTCAGAGGCTAGGGGATCATAATGGTAATAAGGTGAATGAAGGAGATGGATAGTACTTGATTTCTCAGTTTTGAAGAATTTTGTTTAACAAATACTTGGTTTTTATTAAGCAATGAAGGATACTTTCTTGCTTAGCTAGCGACGGCTCACCTAGCCATGCAACAAATCTCAATCAAAGACAAAACAACAGACATAAAAGCGGTTCATTAACTTTCTTAAGGGCCGTTGCTCATTGATAGGCAGAGTTCAGACTGCACAGTTGGAAGCGAGGCTCCTGGGTTGAGCTCTTGAGCTGTTGAGCCCTCCTTCTCTTCAGAAGTCACTTCCCCCATGACCTTGCTAACATGAAGGCATATTGACCCGGTGACCCAAGTAAACACAATACTCTTATGTAACCTGCTTACTTACTTTATAAATTAATTTATTTGATTTATAAGCACTTACTGAGGGTCTTATATGTTCCAGACCTGAAAATTTAGCAGTGAACAAAAGAAGTCCTCTTTCATTCTCCTAGGTCTTCCCCTCTTTCCCTTCACTCTGGAATAGGAGGCTTCCTCTAGCTACTCGTCCAGCTTGTGCGTTCCCAGGTGTTCCCTGAGCACAGCAATGCAGAGGTGAAACCAGACATCTTGTCTTTGGGCCCTGAACTGACGGAAGCTTGCAGTGGGGATAACACAAAAGTGTGCAGGGTAATGTGTGAATTTCTAGGGAATGCAGAGCCTTGGGTGCACAGCAACAAATCTGTTTAGATATTGCCTTGTAGGGAAGGTCTGGGCAGCTTTGTACCTTGAGACCAGATCTGAGACCAGAAGGATGAGTCAGAATTATCCAGTTCCAGTACATTCCAGGCAAGGGAAACAAGTAGCGCTTATGAAAGATGGCTGAGGAGAATGGTCTTGATGTGCTAAGGAAGTACAAGCATTTGCTACATCTGAGAGACAAAATGGAGGCCACACAGCAGTGCAAAGGGGCAAAGAGAGGCTGGAGAGACACTGGAGACACAGGAAGGTTCTGTCTTTCAGGCCAATGAGTATGTGCTGCATTTGAAAATCTGTGGGGAATTCTACATGGGCTGATGGGTTTAGAGTATAGAGAGCAAGACAGGGGCCAAGAAGCCAATTAGCAGGTGACTCTGGAATTAGTGACCTTTGAACTTGACCTGGCAGGCTCAGCTGCCCATGCCAAGTGCCCAGGTCAACAAACACCTCTCCAGTTTCTCTTGCTGCCTATGGCCAGGATCAGGATACAAGAAAATCACACTTACAGGTTTATCTTAGGATTTGTAGTACTTACTGGCTAGGCTATGATCAGATCTGTAGACAAAAATTGGAGCTAACGCCTGCAGGAAGTAGCAGTTAAGATTGAGAAGGAATATACCCAACATCAGTGTACTTACAGAGAACCCTAACCCAAGCCTGTTTTGATTTATTCAATTCCTGTGTGTTTGTTGAACTCCCACAGAATATGTGGGACTAGGATCTCCTTAGCTGTCATGAAGCCCATGACAGTCATCAGTCATTCCCAGTTGGGTGTTTCAGTGAGCCAAACTCAGGGCTTCTCTCATCTGATGTCATCTGGCCAGATGAGGTCCTTCGCAAGTGCCTGATCAGCTCCCAGGCTTACTTACCTCTGTTATTGCTTATATTGCCCTGAAGCATCATTTTATTTGATTTGTCTTAAGCTGAAATTTGGGGCTGTGAACTTGATGTCTATCTAATACCTGGTATAATATCTGAACATGAGAAGTTTCCAATAAATTTTTATGAATATAAAGTATCATGCACACACAAACACATATATCTATCTAATAAATACTTGATGTAGAGTGGTTGAAGAACCACAAGGGAAGGAGCTGGACCCCAGTCAGGAAGTTGGAGTATGACTCGGATTTTACTACTGAGAAAATGACATAGGTGAGATCTATATAATAATTTAAAGGACTGTTGTGCCGTGTGTACTTAAATACACTCTTGGAAAGTTTAAAATAAAAATTCTGCAGGAGAGGTGACATAAGAATTGTGCCTTTAAGCCCAAAAAGGAACTTGCCAGGAATAAATGGCAGTGTGGGTATTCTTGCCAGAAGAACCGCGTGAAAGAAATCATGGAAACTGCTTATGGATGAGAAGGCAGAAGAACTCAGAGAGGGAAGTAGCTGGAGGTCAGATTTGAAAGGCCCCGAGCAGAAGGGCAAGGCAAGACTTAAGAGGGGTTGGGGGTTGGGGTCAGAGGACAACATGATGCATCCAAGTTTAGAACAGTCACTTAGAACAGTGGTTCTCAACCTGCAGGTTATGACCCGTCAGGGGTTGAATGACCCTTTCACAGGCGTCACCTAAGACCATCGGAAAACACAGATATTCACATTCTGACTCAGAGCAGTAGCAAAATTACAGTTATGAAGTCACAATGAAAATAGTTTTATGGTTGGGGGTCACCACACCAGGAGGAACTATTTTAAAGGGTCTCAGCATTCGGAAGGTTGAGAACCACTGACTTAAAGGAAGGTAGAAAATGGTTGAGGACAGTGGGGACGAGAGAGGTGATTGGTTCATTGGTGTGAGTTGGAGCCAGGGAGAGGTGTAGGAATATGCACAAGGCTGCAATGGATCTGGCTACCTACTAGATGTGGAATGAACTTAATAGATAAACTGAGGCTCCTCTGAGGTTTTCAGCTGGGGTGAGTGGTTAAGAATCCACAGCAGATTGATAAGATTTTGGTCTAATTGCTGCTGTAGGTTCTGTTCTGGTAAACCCATTGGAAAGTATAGCCATCAGGAAGAGGGAGAGTCGGGAGAGAAGCAATGCAAGCAGTTCAAACAGAGCCCAAGCTCCATCCTCATTCCCTTTCCCCAGGCAATCCCTTTTTAGAAGAATGGGGTTAGAAAAAGACCGAGTATCTGTGAAACTCTGTATGCCCTTTGCCGGTTGGGGGAAAGGGACTTAAAAATGGAATCAAGTATCCATTGGTGAGTCACCAGTGTTATTTTAGAAGGGATTTGTCATGCAGCAGTGGGAGGCAAACGGGAGCCAAGAGATGAATCTGTAATGAGCGAAAAGAGAAATGAGGTGAAAGCAAAGGGTTGGCATGGGCACCAGGAATGCCAGCGCAGGACTGGGAGGTGGGGTGGTGATGAGGAGGAGGGGGGCACAGGACTTTTGCCCCCTAGGTGCGAGGTAGTATACGTTAGATCAGAGTACAGAGGGCGAAAGGCAGGGCATGTGCCTTGAGTTCCTGTCAAACTGTGTTTGTTGCTGGGCATCATTGTTGAGATTGCATAATCATCTTCCTCTTGGACTCCGATCTGCCCTGCCCCCCAACAGTCTCATTAATGGAAGACTTGGTTGCGTTCCGAAGGTTCTGACCTAATGAACGGATTCACCCCTTGATATGTTCGTGAAATGATGACATGGGGGGGGGGTTGTCTTTAAAACTAGAAAGATACATCTTGTGCCTTGAGCCTTATTTCTGTGCTTCCTGATCACCATGAAGCGATCAGCTCTCCTTCTCCCATTCCCATAATATTCTGCCTCACCTCAGACCCCAGGTAATGGAGCCAGT